CTAGCTATCTTCGCACATATAGTAGCGATCCTGTTTAATCAAACTCGTATTTAATACTCTTATTATAAAATATCAACAAAGTTCTAAGATCTAAGTTTAGAAGTATCAGAAAGTACTTACTGCGGTGGTATATATTTGTACTTGTTATACGGCGGAGAGTGCGGCGTAGCCGTGTCATATCGCACATCTCCAGCGCTGACTCCAGTTGCCCAAAGCGCGAAGGCCACTGCCAGCGTCCACACCAACGCATGACAAGTCAATGGAAGTATACCCCGTATTGTCATTGCACCTTGCAGGATTATTTAAAAAGAAATACGACTTTCGTTCTCACTGTGTACTGTCGATTTCTGTATTGACGAAAGTCGTATATTCATTCAAATATTTAATATTCGCACTACTCTTGCTGAGTGCACACTTGGATGATGTCAAACAGACTGACTGATTTGAAACGATACGTCCCAGTTAACCGCGCTAGGGGAGCGCCTGAGATATGGATTCTGCAAACAAATCGTGCTCTCGTTGCTCTCTAGCGGGGTGTCAATTTAATTTGCGAGATTGTCACCTCACCCACATAAAGTGTACGAGTGAGGTTTCGGAATTAAATGATTTTTTACGAAATGCAAGTTTTGCTTAGAGGTTTGTCTCCGATTACTATAGAAATTTGTTGGCTGTGTTTTTTTTTTACTGATCAGCACTCCTGAATATTCGGGTTTAAATTTTGCAACATATATTTTATTAGTATTTATTTCAGATTCTCGTCCTTTATTAAACACTACTTCTAAAGTAACTTTTCTTGGGATCTCTATGGACTAATGTTAAGTTTAATAAGGGTAGACATAGTGGATTACGGTAAATTGGTTTCGACACATATTCATCATCATCATCATTATCATCATTACAACCCACACGAGTTTAAGAACATAGGTCTAGTGTATGATGAGGTAAGACAGTATCTACTTATTAGTACTAGACTAATGCAGGTGGTCTAGGATCGTGTTTAGTGACATTCCTTAAGGGAGGCCCCTCTTAAGAACACAACACATCTATTATTACGAACTATAAACCACCTCCGACTGCTTCGTGATTCTAATCCCAGGACCGCATGTTCAGCAAACCACAAAAAAGTTTTTTTTTAATTTTAAATTTATTTTTTTAAATTTTTTAAACACGGAGACAACTCCGTGGCGCAGTGGCTTAGCAATGAGTGGCTGCGCTGAGGGTCGCGGGTTCGAATCCCGCACGGAACAAGTATGTATGGCCTACAAATAATTGTTCCGGGTCTGGATGTTTGTCTATGTCTTTTTACTATATTATACAAGTACTCATATATCAATTCTAAGCTGATGCTTGACTGACTTACCTTGTATTGTAAGTCACACTCGCTTAGTAAAATGCCTATTTCCATTCTATTTTATCGGAAAGACTGTTGCAGGCAAGTACTTCCTATATTTTGCAGTACCTAATCACAAAAACGCTTCGTGTGCTAGGTATATTGACAATATAAAAAGTGAAACCCGCCGTGCGTCTTGTTGTCCGTTTACGAAAATGAGATGAATTGTATTGCCATTTGTCTAATTCCTGCGTACTATCTCCAAAATATAAATAACGTTAGAGTAACGTACTAAGCAATAGTACACATGATGCTAAATTCCTACTAGGCTAGCCCGTAGAAACAGGTTACCAAATATAAACAGAAAAAGCTCCAATTTACTAATAAAGCTAATACTCACAACTCTTCAAAGATCTATAGATTTTTAATTTTTATACACTATAATATGACTGTAATTTGACCGTTAAAATATGACACAGGTGGTAAAATTAAAAAAAAAAATTGTACAACCGACTTCTTCAGTATAAATGAAATGAAACATTATCAATGTAGTCGAAGCCAATTAAAATCGCATTATTAAGGATAACTTAAAAAGTACTAGTCATATCTTGATCAAATTTATATGGGACCTCATATGAAGCATGAAAAGCACTTTCAAATAAAAAGGAATCGTCAAAATCGGTTAACCTAGAAAACACTTCTGAGGTAACACACATAAAAATACAGTCGAATTGCGAACCTCCTTTTTTGAAGTCGGTTGAAAAAGGAAATTTCTTGTCCGATCTGATGTAGTAATAAAGGTGACAGACGTGCACACAGTTGCCTTGATGGTAGTAGGATACTGTTTTTTATAGGAGGAGGCAAACGAATAAAATACCAGCGTAAAATACCAGCTTAATGGTGCTGTGTTTCGTATGGTGAGTGTAGAAAATCGGAGACCCCTTTTTACTGGAAACAAGGTATTCCATCTTAGTGCTCATGGGTGTCAACGCATACTTATATTTGTTTTTAAAAAACCAGAAAGTTTTCGTTGTATTTTAGTCTTGGAAGGCCTATGACAGACTTAACATGGTTGCTAATAGTACACACGGACTTGTGATTTGGTCAAGTAGAAAGAATGAATGAGGAAAGAGTGACAAAGCAAATTTATATGGCAGATGTGAACGGCAGAGTCGGGAAGGGACGCCTTAGATGAAAGTTTATCGACCAAATTGGCGATATTTGGAAAATGGGCCACTTAGAAGTACCCTACACCGACGAGCATGTATGCGTATATATATATATATATATATATATATATATATATATATATATAAGATATATATAAGGGGGACGAGGGAGGTATGTCAGGATCGTGCCAAATGGTCCTTAGTCTCTGCCTTTCCCTCTGGGTGACAGGCGTGAGTGTTTATGTTTTATATGTATGGACTTGTTTGGCATCCATAAAAGTGTGAGGGGGTTGTGTAGCTTCCACGTGGCTGTTCAATTTGCTTACAGACAGTTGTTTAGAAAATTTCGAAGTCAAAGAATGATGATTAAGAATCGGTAAGCTAGCCGTCAAATGCCGCTTGAATGCGTTGTCGGCAAGTAATTTGCAAATGAATATCCGAGTTTTTAAACCATATGCGATTATAAATACTGTACGTATAGCGTAGACATTTTTGCACCTTATCTTTTATACGATCATTATATAATATGGTATATAATATAATTATTATAATAATATAAGTTTTTACGTATTTCACTTTTTGTAATTTTTATTTTTTGGTTTTCTAATTTACTAATTTCTAATTATTTTATAACGAATTTCTATTGATCTAATTTATTAATACCAAAGTTGAAATTAGTAAATTATACGCTTCATTTGTTTATTACATTTGCATATTAAAACCAACATCTTGCAAAAATTTTAAGAAACAAATAAAGCACGTTTAAAAGAAGGTGTGATAGCACAAGTGGATAGGTGTCTGCCATAAATTCATAGTAAAGATACCCAGGTCCAGGTCCGATGCTCGTTGGCACCAATGAAATTGTAATTGTGCTGACTTACAAGTAAATTTTATCAATATAAAATTATTCCGAAGACATGTGAAGTTCGTCGATACACACCGGAGGAAGCATGTGTCCAGAAGCAGTGCTACGAACCTATATAGGCTGTAACTTAACTTTAATTTTACATTTAATGTTAAACAAGATAGTTACAAGAATGAAATAAAATTCAAAATTTTCTGAAAAACCTTAACGGCTGAACGTCTTTCAAATTAAAATCACAATCATTTGTACCAGATTTAAGACAGCTTTAAATAACGGTACATAGCTATGATACATATTATATTATAGTCACTGATCATACTAATAGATTGGTAAAATAATAATATTATAATGAAACATACAATAAATGAAATAGTAAAAAGAATTTCATTCAGCGAATACCGTTTAGTGATTCTAAGTGTAAGCTACGGAACCCATGTCAACACACTCCCAATCTTTACAACGTCGTTATGGAGAGACTTGAAGACGATAAATCCTACAACTCCTTGGGCCAGAACCAGATGTTCGCCCTTCCGGTGATAGAAAATGTTCTCTCCCTTTCTTCGGACCTATAGATAATCCATCCCTAATATCCCAGCGCAATTTGACTATCTCTTGTTCCAGCTCCAGGGTTTTCTCTACAGTACTCATGAGGGTATATTGCCATAGTTGTCACGCTTGGCGAATGGGTTGGCAACCACAGTTATTTATAGTTTTTGTTGTTATCAGAAAGATGCTGCTGCCCATCCTATATCCATAGCCTCAGTTTCCTTCTGTCGCCTCTTACGACACCCGCGGGAAGATATGGCGTAATGGGTATTCTTACCCACCACTACACGGGGGATTCAATTTAGGAGTATTTTCATCAAATTTTAAAATAAAAAATAGTAAATTATTTTTTCTTCATACAAATTTGAACACCTTTCGCCCCCCGTAAAGGAGTTGTTTAGAAAAATCGCAAAATACTTGTTCATTTATTTTCGTCGTCGTAGTCGTATTTGAGTAAATTTCCCACATTTAACCCACTTAGGGGTTGAATTTTCATAAATACTTTCTTAGTTGATGCCTACGTAATAAAGAGTTTGTTGGGAATTGTTCCAAATTCACAAACATTTTTCATATAAAGCAAGCACGTTTTAAAACATAAGGGTACACTTTTGAAAAAATTTGAAATAAAATTTTTGTCATTTTAATTCATGAGTATTTTCAAGATAAAAATACCGTAAATTATTTTTCCACAAACAAATTTGGACATCCTCTGGCCCTCAGGAAACGGATTATTTAGAAAAATCTCAACATAAGTGTAATTTATTTTATTCATAGAGTATTTTCAGTAAGTTTAAAGTCTATCACCCCGTAAAACAAAAAGTTTCATAGAATCAGTAACACGCTATTTCACCTCCTTAGGGGTAGAATTTTTCTACGTCTAGCGGCGTCAGACAGTGGGCTGTGCGTTGACAGATGAGCCAGTCACTCAGGATATCCTCTTTCATTTATTTAGATTAGTAGCTTAAGGGTTGGATGACTGCGTGAAATTTTAGATACTGGTGAATACGGAATGGGCGGGGGGAGGAGGGTGGCATGGAACTATAGTCCTCGCAGAAGTGGGGATTGTTAACTACAATCCACACTTCTGCGAGGACTATAGTTCCATGCCGTGACCTTAGACCTGGTAGCCATAGCTTGTCATATGAAGCTGTGCGTTATCTTACTGACCAAACGTATCATCACACTGAGCTATGCATATTGCTTAACATTCTCGTGATGTTAATACCAGTGAGTGCAACAATAGCCGAAATACCTTTTGCTACCCTCGCTACCTAAAACCGTGACTAAAAAGTTTTTAATGTAACTATTACATTTGAGCATATGATATACCTAAGGCAAAAAAATATAAACTTAAGTAAAAAGTAATAATAAAAATTTTACCATGTAGTAGCAATGTTTAGCACTACTCCATATCATCCCGTGGGGTTTTAGGAGCTAGTTTATTCTAAGTTTTAGCACCGATTTAACTACTTGAAATCAATTTATTATTTTAAGTTCTTTGAAATCGGCTTTTACTTTCACTAAAAGTTTTTATTTTTATTTATTTATTTATTTAAAACTTTCTATACTTGGTATATAGGCGGACTTAATGCCTGAGGTGTTCTCTACCAGTCTACCTTGGGGTGATTTTTCTTCTATGTACTCAAATCAAAAACAAATGTAAGTAATGGATACCAACTTATAACACGAATAAAAACAACAACACATTTAATTGAAATATTTTAATATTTATCTCTAAATTTAACAGCACGTTGTGAGAATGAACTATATTTAAATTACGTTAAATTTATTATATTGTAGTTAAATATGTCCAGATCACAACGTTCTACAGTTTAAATTCACTTAATAAATATTATGTACATTAAACATTAAAATTTAAATTAAACACATTAATTATTCTTCTTTGTATTATCCATATACATTTTAGCAGCTGTAGCTATGGCGTGTGTTACTTTTCCGGTAACCTCATGCAAGCTTTCATTAGAAAGATCCCAAGAATCTAACGATCGTTTCGAGAAGAAGGACGCTGTGGTATCGTTCGGTCTCCAACTGTTGGGATATACTATCTTATGCCGAAGTACAGCTTTTATGATAAGAGCCCCGACGTAAACGATGAAATAGACGCTAAAATATAGCGGCAAATAATACAACTTCTTTCCTAAGTAATAATAGCTGAACCTGTTGACACGGGGCATTTCGGTAGTAGTTGTAGTTGTAGTAGGTTTATGATAGTGGTGATCATGATAGAAATCATCATCATCAAAATCATGATGGTACTTTAAGTCCCCAGGAAAATCACTTGGAAAACCACTATCATCCGAAGGCGGTTTATTAAAAATTAGTTCTGGGTAGTCGGTATCGTGTTGGAATTTAGGAGATTCATGATGTTTATTACTATGCGGCGATAAATTGTCGGGTTTATCGTCGGGGTATCCATGAAAATCTGGTTTGTCATCCATGTCCACCATGGGTGGAGCTTTAGAGGGGAAAGCAGGTTTCTTATAACTATATCCCTCAAAGGGTTTGTTTGGCGGTGGTATTGTGGGTGCAAACAGTTGTTGTTTAAAAGAATCTGTGGGAGACTCATAATGATATTCAAGACCCATAGGGGAACCGTCACTATTTTGATCAGAGTCGCTGTCATCTATGGGGGGAGATGGCGGTGAATAAGTTAATACCGGTTTTGCAGCAGGAGGTGATGGTGGAGGAGAGTCAGAAATAGAAGATGGATATGGAGGAAATGATTCGTAACTTGTTGGAATAGGGAAATCACTATCAGTCAGCTTAGGTGGTGGCGGTGGAGGTGGCGGGATTAGACTGGCAGTAGTCTTAACGGGTGCTGAAACAATATTTGATTGTTTGGAATTGTCGCCGTAATTTTGCTGTGGAAGATAAGGTTGTGCAGGATTATAACGATCAATTGGCTGACGCATGGGAATAATATCTTGTGCCTCACCTCTGACAGGATTTTTCAAGTCATAAAAATTATCTAAACTAAATAAGTTATTTCCTTTCTTACTATTTGATAAAATATTTTGTATTGGCGTCTTCATAGTCTTGATTTGAAAGGGCTTTAAATTGACGTAAGGGAAACGTATATTAGGGTCAGTGCGTATAGCTCTAGATTCGTTTTCAGCGCCGCTTCCAGCATTAGTTCCAAATCTGTAATAAACAATATATAATATTATTATTTCATTTCGGGCATATAATTAGAGTCGAAAGATGAAAATACTAGTTCGATTTATTAAAAAAAACTTAAAGGAACTTACCCGGGCAAAGCCAAATTGTCGTATAATTTTTCCTCCTCATTAACACTGCTCGTATCTACAGGTTCATTTGTATCACTTTTAATCGCGTTCTCGTCATTTTTTCCAACTGAAACTTCTTGCCAATTATCCGCGTATTCGTTGTACTTTTCACTGTCAATTATATGCCAAATATTTTCAACATTACTGGGCGTTACTTGCGTTGTCGTGGTCGTGGTTAATTTTGTTGTCGTTGTAAAAGGCGTTGTCGTTGGAACATATATTGGTACAGGGTTATTATAAAATTTATTGTACATATCAAATTCATCAGCTTGTTTGGTGTCTTTATCTTCCTGCTTTACATTTGGTAGTGGTAAACCATAATTAGTATTTTGGTGCACAGGTTGAAACTCTTTATCAGGAACGTAAATCGGTTGGAATGTTGTGGAAGATTTAGCTTCAACACGTTCTTTTTCTAATAATTTCCTTATACTTTTTTTCACTGCACCGTTAGAGTCCGATTCAAATTCAGCAAATATTAAATCGGGTGTTTTCACTTGAGACTTAGTGGTCGTTGGGACAGTGGTCGTCGTAATGTTCGGCCCCGAATCCATTCTTCGCATCCAGCTGTGGTAGTAAAACGGCGCTGACCTTCCTTCATCAATTTTTGATGATATCGATGATGGCGTTACGACGTACACCTTAGGTCCGGGTAAATTCAGTGCTAAGACTTTACAATTCCCTAATATACAGAACACGAATACCAAAAATAATACTATAAAAAACTTCATTTTAAATGTACACACTGCATTAAAGTTTACAGTAAGTGTTCAACTCGAGAGCTGATATGAAAATGTTAAAATTGACAGTATACTTTCATATTCAGTATGTTGGAATGGGTTTGTTGGGAGTAAAATTGTGATAATTTCTAGCGGTACTATGTAGAACACTTAAAGCACGATCAAAATGACCCACGTACAAGCTGCAATTTACACTTGTTAGCGGGATAATCAATGTCACTCGAAGTTAAGGTGAAAAAGAAAGTGTTACATATTTGTTTAAAATATTCAGAGCATTTTCAAATAAAAATAGGTCAACATATACACAGCTAGTAATAGTATTAAGTGATATAAAAATATTATCGGCTTAAATACTGTATTATAAAAAAAACTGTTAACTGACTTCCATATTATATTGATTCCGTTATTACGTCCATAGACCGAACAAGGCTTATCGGTAGGAGGCGCCACTTGATAGCCTTTCTTCTCCGTCGACCATCTTCAATTTTTCATTCCACGACCCATTGTCACTTCAGCTTACTGATCTGTTGGTCTGTTACTCTGGTTCTGCTACCATTATTCATACGTACTTTTATTCCTGATTGTACCACGTGACTGCCTCGTTGGTCTAGTGGTTGTAGTAGTGCGACTGCTGATCATGAGTCCTGGGTTCTAATCTAATCCTGGGTCGGGCCAAAAAATCAATTTTTGGGTTTTTCTGTCAAGAAATTCTCAGTAGCTGCCCGGTGTCAGGAAGTTGGTGGTGTCTTACCCCCGTCCCTCGAAAAGCACGTAAAGCCGTTGGTCCTGCGCCTGATCTCTCTCCCGGTCATGTCGGTTTACCGCCCTATCGGATTACGAGAGTGAGGGAATAGAGAGTGCACCTGTGCTTGCGCATACACCTGGGCACTATAATCCTGTCCTGCGCCGATGGCTAGCCTCCGTTGAGGCAGGCCGCCATGGCCGAAATTCGGTCTCGAGGACATTATTAATAGAACAAAAGCTCCAGCTGCTGTCTTGGCATTGAGTTACGGTACTAAAGAATGCGGGTTCGGATCCCGCACGGAACAAGTATTTTTATGGCTTACAAATAACTGTCAACTGTCAATATTAAATCTATGAATGTGGACTACCTCCACATCACAGATGATAATCATAATTTTTTTTAGGAAGAGAATCTCCGGTTTTAACCCTCTCCATAATTAGCTGAGCGCCTTCGAACTTCCTCACATTGTCAATGTGAAAAACCGCATTCCAGGCAAAAAACACTGACTGTAAAGCTATTGTTTTCAAGTTTTATGGAATGTGTAACGAGAAAATGTGGTGTCATCTGCCGAGCGCTGCCCAGCCGAGTTGGAACCTTCAAGTGAGCTCTCGATCGAAGTTTGACTTACCTAGTCACATAACCTATTTATGCTGTGTAAACATACTCATCAACTACTTCGAGGTTCGTGTTTCCAATAATCACCGGCATATGTGTAACAAAGGTTTAACACATAAATTTTGTTTTGTTCATGTTCATTTTAAGACCTATCAGTTAGAAGACACTATAATGTAATTTCTGTCACGGGGGCCAGCTCAATAGAGCCCAACGTCGCATGTCATGCACATGGTGTATCGGTACTTGCCAAATATTGTCATCGTAAGTTCGCTATCAGTCATGTCATGTCTTTCAACAAAGAAACATTTAAGACGAATGTTCGCGCTCGTTTGCTAAAATTGCGTCAAAGCTGCTGTTATCACTGTTTTAGTTTAGTCACGATATTTGTACTTTATATTATATTTTCTTATAATATTTATATATTTGTGTATATTTATGTGTGTATATATTTCTTTACAGAATGCTTCTAGCATTAAATTTGATCCTATACTGTTCCATAAAGTTCAAATAAATAAGTCGGTTAAGAAATGATCTACTCCAGTCAGTAGTCAGTATATTTTTGAATGGAGACATAAGCTTCTGTAGAATAAATAAAATGTAAGAGTGGAAATAACAGACCGAAGGTAATTTCTGTTTTTCTTCACATTATAATAACATATACATTTTTAGTTTGGTAAGTATATAAAGGGTTAAGCAATGTAACCAAAATAAAGGTTTAGACATATTTAATATAAATTATTATAATACAATACTTATTAACATCCCTATATAACTTTATAAAGCTGGTTTGTAAGAATTTAAACTAATTTATCACAAGAACTACTTAGTATTTTTGCAAATGTCCTTTCGAGTCACTTCGTTAGGAGAAGTTTCGCTCTCGTTGTATCCTGGATTGTCTACTCCGGAATCGCTGCCGCCATCTACATCTGACACCAGTTTCACTTGCGGCTTTAGGTCTGTAATTTTCGACACTACAAATTCAGGATTCTTTACACTATCGATTCCGTTCGTTCTAGCGACATCTAACGACATACATGTCTTATCATTTTGTTTCACAGTATCGCAACTTTCAACATCTGTGGTTGGAGGAATCTTCTTACAGATGTCGTTACCATCGTCGTGTGATCGTTTTCCAATGTAGAACTTGTTAAATAGATAATATATACATCCTGTCAAGAATGTCGCAAGGGCAAATATCTGGTATGTTGGCCTTGTGCCAACGAATTTCATTAAATATCCGCCTATTAGACTTCCCGCTCCTTTGCCTGGAACGAAAAAATTGTGTTAAAATGGTATTAATATGTATGAATTTTATTTTTATTATGTGAGTATGAGTCGACTTTAATCGTAAAAAAATTGCAATGATTCATACAAGCAAGTCTGGGAATTTTAACTATTTAAGTTAACTTTGCCATCAGGGATGTACAAGTTAGGCGGTTTTTACAGAAGGATAAAAAAGAGAAAGGTCTTGAAATATAAGCTCTACCTATTTTGCATTTCGATAAACATGAACATACTACCACCACAAAACAATAAAACAAAAGCTAGACTTCTTCAACAAATTACTAATGGAATACAAAATAAACTTCATAGAATAAATAATGAAACTCCATTATTAATTCAATAAAAATTACTTCATATAAGAAACGTTTTTTTTTTCGTTTTGAATGTTGTCAATATTACTTTATATCAATCATCTACGGCTGTGTATTATATACACTTATTTTTTAAATAATATTCATTACAATTATTTAAATACAGTAACGACATAAATAACAACATGCTGGAATTTTTTGATAAACGTTTCTATAAATAGAATGTTGCATCTTATAAGGGCAATAAACTCGCTTTCTGGTTGATTATTCAATCGTCGGATAAAAGTTATCCATCAAATATATTGGTATTATTTATACATATAAATGAAATTAAAATGTCTATCTGTAAAATTTAAATGACTGCCTTTTATTGAGCTCAGGAGGTTCTTTGCATGCCATCAAGACATGAGTAATACTTTTTTAGTAGGTGAGGTAGCAAAGGAGCATACGGTTCACCTTATCTTACGAGCATACAGTTAGTCTGTCTTTCTGCCAGTCCGAGCTAGTCTTTGGCATGGTACTATAACTCATTGTGATGAAACTTTGTTAAAGAGCAATGTCAGGAGAGGTCTATGTTGTATTTTATTCAAAAAACTTGGAGATTCTTCTTCGTGTAATGGAAAAATTATTAAAAAAATGGTCATTGATGTATATTTTGAAAAATCTAACGGCATGGATCCCAACCAGGATAAGCCGGGGCGGATCGACAATAATAAATATATTAAACCTGACTAAATATATAAATATAATATATGAATACTACACTACACTTTAATATATGAATAATAATGTCCTCCAGACCGAATTTCTGTCACGGCGGCCTGCTTCAACGGAGGCTAGCCATCGGCGCAGGACAGGCTTATATTGCCTAAGTGTATGCGTAAGCACAGGTACACTCTCTATTCCCTCACTCTCATAATCCGATGGGACGGTAAACCGACACGACCGAAGAGAGATCAGGCGCAAGACCAATGGCTTTACGTGCTTTCCGAGGCACGGAGGTGAGACACCGCCAACTTCCTGCCGCCAAATGCCTCGTTTCCATTAAAAGGGTCTCCGGTTCTCTACACTCACCATACGAAACACAGCATCATTAAGTGTTTTAGAGCGTGATCCTACCCCGGTCGAGCCGACCCATTCGTGCTACAACTATACTACAAATATAACTGCAGCGTTGCTCTACCACGTTTGTTTATTTATAGATATGTTTTTAAATACGGAAATGGAGATTAATACCAAACAAAAGTTAACGTCTGATAAGTGAAAACATAGTCTAAATTCGGTATTGAAATAATCACCATCAGATAACAAAACAATTTTATAAAGTATAATTTTTTTTTGTCTATGTGTTTAATTTTCCTTGCCGTACCGTGCTCATAGTAGGACAACCAGGAGGAAGTTTACGAGGCTAATAATACGTACCAACTCCATAATAAAGTCCGCCAAGGAGTCCCTGCACGGAAGTATCAGTTGTGATGGAGGAAAGACGGGCAGCGTACGTGACCGCAGCCGTAAACGATAGTGATGACGTCACGGATTCCAATGCCTCGAAAATTAGGCACAGCCACGGATTGTAGATTAGGGAATAACCTGTGAAATACCAATTTATTTTAATTATACAATAATCATGAAAGCCATAAGCTAAATTATAACGTTTCAGCTGAATCTAATTAACCGGCTTGTGGATATTTTTTTTAAATATAACCCCATTTTTAGTACGAGGCAATCTATGGGGAGGCCTATGTTCATCAGACATTTTTCGATAGGCTGTAATGAAAGAATCTACCGAACATTTTAATTAAAATATTAACTAGTAATATTTTTAATTAAAATGTCCGGTGTATAATAGCTATTATTTATTCTGTGATAATAGTAACTAGCTTTAATTAGGTGCAGCCAATTGTAGTTGGTTAAGCTTAGGTGAGTTCAATTTATTTATGGAATGGGTAACACCAGGCGAAATATTAAATCTAAGTTTACTTCGAATTACCTGTGTTTTTAGGTCACAGTCCATATATATTACCTAAAAATAACCGCGGTACCTTAACTTTTTTCATGGAAAAATGCCCGCATAACCACCTTGGGGGGCAAACACAGTGTTATATATATCGAACTAGTTCTGACTAAAACCCCACCCCCCTTAACGGCATATGACACATCCGTAGCCCCTTCAGCATCTTAGCAGACCCTCTCGCCGGAACTTTCCTCCAAGATCTCCAGCTTCCTCTGCACAACGGCCCCACCAAAACCTTATGCAAAGTTTCTGTGGCCAGGAATTTCAAAATGGTTCCACGTCCCAGCATCGAATCTGGTAAATGGCTCCGCCGCCGACCAAGTTTCAGCCATGGAGGTAGGGAAAAGAGAGTTGCTCTTTGCAATATCGACACTCTTCACTTTCTCCCTGCGATCCCCACCACAACCGCACCGGTGATAATTCCAAGCCAGAGGTGCGGGGGGAAGGCACAGTTCACCAATACGCATATGGAGTGAGCTTGGCATGCCCCCTTGGAGAGGCACCTCGGGCCGGCCCTTCGCCTCGGGTCAGCCTAATATTTCTTAAGCCACGGCTACTAAGCCATGAAACAAATATTTAACAACAATTATTTACATTTTAGACCCAGTTATAGGTTGTAGTCGACCTAACATAGGCGCTAGTTTGGTAACTTAGCGTATATTGAAAGTATACAAGGACAGCACGCATTCATAGTGTTCTTACACTGTATGTTTTCAGAATGTGTAGCAAATAAAAATTTCAGAAAATATACACTAGTATACATACATACATACTAGTCGCTTATATTTTCTAACGCTGATTCAGTTAATTAGTTAAGAGATTATACAAGGCTAGAACCGACATGTTCTGACATTGTATACATTTAGGATGTAAACGCGTAACAAGCATTAGTAAAGTATACAAGCTCAGAAAATAGACGGTCCAAAATTGTATAAAGCGTAGGCCTGGTTTTGTACAAATAAGGAAATAAATTAAAATAATATTTGGTCATTCAAATCCACGAATTTGCCTTTATTTCAGTGGTATTAATATTTTATTTTTCCCAAACACTGCAACACTAATGGGGAATTGATGTTGTTTTGACGTTAGCTGTCAACTGTCATGAGGTTATTGATCAATTTATTGACAGGTATTTGAATTCTGAAATGCTGTGTTATTCTTATCACTGATAGCCTTAGATTTATTATGTACAATGGCTAAAATGTCTCGAAGCTTGGGGATGTATTATTTTGTTCTTGAAACAAGTAACATTTTTTTTTCCCTATTTTTGTGGGTTTTTTTTTTTTTTTCTTTTTTTTTTTTTCTTTTTTTTTTTGGGGTGGGGGGGTGGGGTGGTTTCTTTTTTATATAAAAATAGAGAGAAAAGGGAAAGGATAGGGTGGTGTGGGCCGCGTTTTTTTTTTTTTTAAAAAAATTATGGTTGAATTAAAAAAAAATAAAATTTTAAATAAAAAGGGGTGGTGGTTCTCTCTTTGGGGTTCCATTAATCCAAAAATTAAAAAAAATGTTTATTTTTTTTTTTTATTGGGGTCGGTGCGGTTATTTTTTTTCTTGTTGATATTTGCATTTCAATATCAATGCAATCCAGGAGCTTGTAATAAACAAAAAAATATCATACTACCTACATAATTTCATGACTCAAGTCACTTGTCAGACATGACATTTGACATATAATTTTATGACTGGAAGGCGCCATCTTGTAAAATCATCAAAAATTGGGATTGCATTTTTATTTTTAGCATGTTATTTATTTATTAAGAGTTGATAGGGATGTGCTATGGCAAACACTGAACTCATTTGGGTTGAATGCTGGCTTGATACAGGCATTGGAGTCTCTTTATAGGGACTCTAGTGCTTGTGTTAGGATCAACGGGGTCTACTCGGACTGGTTTGATATCCATAAAGGTGTCAGACAGGGCTGTGTGGCTTCCCCGTGACTGTTCAACCTATTTATGGACAGTTGTTTGCAAAATTTGAAAGTTGAAGAATGCGGATTAAGAATGGGTGAGTTAACCATCAAATGCCTTTTGTACGCCGATGATCAAGTTATTCTTGCGTCGTCGGCGGCCGAGTTGCAAATGATGGTTACATTAATGAAGAGATCATTAAAAGAAAGGGGTATGAAAGTAAAGGCAAGTAAGACGAAGGTTATGGTTTTTGAAAGAGAAGAAAGTAAAACGTTTTGTGAAATAAGAATAGAAGGGGAGTTGATCGAGCAAGTAGATGAGTTTGTATATTTGGGCTGCGTATTTAGCAGGGATGGGAGATATGATAAGGATATAGAACGACGAGTGAATTCGGGAAATAGAGTAAATGGGGCCCTGCACTCTATTGTGAAGAGTCAAAATGTGTCGAAAAAGGCACGTATGGCAATTCACAATGCTGTGTTCGTCCCTACTTTAACGTATGGTAGTGAAAGTTGGGTGTGGCAGAAGAAGCACGAGAGTAGAATGAACGCAGTAGAAATGCGGTCGTTAAGGAGTATGTTAGGGCTGAATCTGAATGACAGGGTAAGAAATTGTGTAATAAGAGAAGAGTGTGGTTTGCAAGATGATGTTGTGACCAGGATTAAGAAAGGAATGCTTCGGTGGTTTGGTCATGTGGAAAGAATGAATGAGGAAAGAGTGACAAAGAAAATTTATGTTGCAGAAGTGAATAGCAGAGTCGGAAAGGGACGTCGTAGGCGAAAATTTATCGACCAAATTGGCGATTTATTGAAAACGGGCCAAATTAGGAGTACCCTTAACCGACGAGCATGTATGCGTAGGTGTATGGATGTGAAGGAGGCGAGAGAGGTGTGTCAGGATCGTGCCAAATGGAAGTCTGTAGTCTCTGCCTACCCCTCTGGGTGACAGGCGTGAGTGTTTATGTTATGTTACGTTATTTATTTCGATTTATTCTCTTATTTTATTTTTTTAAATGTCATTATATTAAAAAATATGCAATAATTAGTTACCAACTTCCATTGAAGAAAATGTACTTACGTACTAGAACAGCTATCTCAAACAAAAAATGTGCGCTATTCTGTGTTCGCGCGGTTTTTTTTTATCATAGAATAAACATTGGTAGAATGATCCGTAGGTAATAGTAGATTGTATTGTTAAATAGGTAAATTATTAAAACTACTTTTACGGATTTTATCGCGTTTATTTTTACTTTTTATTTACTTTTATTTTTAATTCCCGACGTTTCGGGTGCTTTCCAGCACCCATGGTCACGGGGGACTGGGTGCTGGAAAGGAAAAGGAAAAAACCATGGGTGCTGGAAAGCACCCGAAACGTCGGGAATTAAAAATAAAAGTAAATAAAAAGTAAAAATAAACGCGATAAAATCCGTAAAAGTAGTTTTAATCATGTATAGTGTTCGCGTAAATATAAGAAATCATTAGGTAAATTATATCGAGAACAATATTTAAGTTTTGTCATTTATTTTGTATATTATATTTGCTTATAAAATATAATATTACATAATATTATACCACAATTACATTTTAATGATATTTTTATCTGAATATTTTAAAGGTATCTATGTCAAATATAAAAAAACATACTAAATGTATTTTATTTTTTATAGATGAGGGGGCAAACGGGCATGCGGCTCACCTGATGTTAAGTAACTACGGCCGCCCATGCTCAACCATAATACCAGGGGAATTGCAGGTGCGTTGCCGACCCTTTAGAAATGAGAAAGCTCTTTTTTGAAGGTCCCCAGTTCGTATCGGTCCGCAAAAACCGCCGGTGGTCGAGCCGCTCTGCGCTGGATGCGGTCAAGTGGAAGGAGCTGGTACTGGGGAGACCCAGCCCAGAGATGGGAACAGTATTCCATGTGCGGTCGAACCTGCGCCTTGTGAAGTTGCAGACGATGTGCCGGTATGAAATACTGTCCCGCTCTGCTGAGCACGCCAAGCTTTTTTAGAGGTCAATTTGACCTTTTCTTCTGAGGCAACAAGGGGAGTGCCTTGAAACTGAGGAGATACGACAAAGGGTTTCTTTTTATCTGGTTAAACTGGACTAGATTTCATGATTCATCATTACAGCCCTTCACAAGTCCACTGGTGAACATAGGCCTCCCCCAAGTAATGACACAAAGCACGGTCCTGAGCCACTTCCACTTTCACTTCCACATCCATCGACTTCCTGCATATCTTACTAGGTCGTCACTCCATCTAGTGGGGGGTCGCCTTACACTACGCCTACCAGTACGAGGCTGCCGCTCGAGAATTTTTCTTCCCCATCGGTTATCGGTTCTTCAAGCTATATGGCCGGCCCATTGCCACTTCAGCTTACTAATTAGTTGGGTTATGTCATTCACTCTGGTTTTACTGCGGATATCCTCATTTCTGAGTCTATCACGCAGAGAAACTCCGAGCATAGCCCTCTCCATAGCTCGCTGAGCGACCTTGAGCGTCCTCATACGGCCAGCAGTGAAGGACCACGTCTCAGATCCGTAAGTCATCACTGGCAACACGCACTGCTTGTACACTTTAGTTTTCAGAGATTGAGGTATACCTGACGAGAAGATGTGTCGTAATTTCCCGAACGCTGCCCAGCCGAGTTGAATCCGTCGATTGACCTCT